CCTTTAAAATCAGCCTCTTGTAGTAGGGAGTTATTAATTTTCCATCTTCCTAATGGTGTTATTACGTCAGGTAGTGAAAGTATTAACTGTATAGGACTATGATCAGTGATGGTTCTAGGATGAATAACTGCATCCCTGGTGTGTTGCATGATATTTTGAGAAATAAAGAAATAATCAATTACGGAAAAGGATTTGTGTCTATCAGAGAAGAAAGTATAGTCTCTTTCTGAGACTATTTCTTTCTTCTATCTTATCTTATTATATTATCTTTCTTCTATCTTTGTAATAAATATTGGGTCATCTAAATTAGGACCATGCACATGTCACTAACAAAAGTCACTAACCAGGAGTTCCATTTACCAATTAAACAAATAAATCTACCATTCTGATCCTCTATTTTACTTTTGAGTAAAAAGGGAGCAGGTTTATGAATAAGAATGGCAACCCCACTGTTTTTGATGAAACTCTAGATCCATTAGCCTGTCCAGCCGAATATCTACACATGTGATGCACATCCTCAGTTTTCAATTGAATTTCTTTGTTTTTAACCTCATCAAACTATTTCATATCTTATTGTGTTTGGTTATACTATTTTAACCTTTAACATTCCATGTCACAACGTTAAGACAATTATCCATTAAGCATAAAAAATACAGTGTAAGAGTAAGAGAGTAGATTAAAATGTTGTATATCCAGACCACCAAAGTGTTGCCTCCAAAATGCTGTCTCTAGCTCCCACCCCCCTCCCTCCATTCCCCTTCCTTCAACCTTCCCTTCCCCCCTCCCCCACCTTTCCCTTACTGATCATGAAGCTGAAAAAAAAAAATCTTGCTTTTTACTCACCGAAGGTAATTATTATACCAGTATCTAAATCTAACCGTTATTAATATAGCTTCACAGCTTCAAAAAGTAATGTTCATAAAAAAGCACAAGAGTGATTTTGTAGACATTGTTACATTTCATATCTTGAAACATATTGTACTCTGAGGGCAAGGCTATCTTCCCAAATTTCAATCCCAATTGATTTTAGGACAAAATAAGATTACCCAGAGCAGTTTAATATAGCCTGAATTACAGGCACTTTTATTTTAATGGATTAACATACCATGTCGATGTATCAATCAAAAAGAAAAACATTGATTATGGTCTTTTACTACTTACAGCCATGTAGTAATTTTTGGATCTTTAAAAAGCTTGTCATCCATATAATTTATCTAGAATGAGACGTACTTTAACACCTCGTTGCCGGTTACTTTTCATAATGGGGTACAGTACAGCCTTTTCCTTCTGGCCACACTTTCTGGTGGGAATTGATGGTTAATCAATGATTATTTTTTAACTCTCTTCCTCTTTCCATTAATATCAACTTCATTTTGTAGCTCGAAAACCGGGCCACTACAGGCCAGGGTTTGGTTAATACAGGGCTTCTTCCCAGTTTCCTCCTACCGACACAATGCACCCATTCAAAGCTCACTCCTTCCACCTCTTCCTTTGTTAATTTTGGTTCTTCCCACATGAAAGTTTTCACAGAAATAGTTTTTTTAAAGATTATTTAACTGGTTTATTTAGCTGATTAGTGAACTGCTGATTAACCTTTGTTCAACACAGAATTAATTAGATTGAATACTCCATTGTCTGATGATTAATGGAGACAGAGATTGAAGAGCATGTTTGAAAATCAAGTGACCTGTGTGAGTAGAACCAAGTTAAGAAAAACCTAGGAAGAAAAGCTCCAATCCAAGAAAGGATCCAAAGACTAGGACAGACCACTTCAAACATTAAACACTGGTGTGACACTCTGGCAGTGTTGGAATTAAGGTGATATTTGTGTCATCAATTGTCACAGACTTTTGAGATGATCCCTCCTGGTGGCAGAGGACACAAATTTAGAAACCCGTAGCAAGAAGCTTTGACATATTACAATCTGACAATAACATGAAAAATGAAGAGTTAACCATGACAGTATTTCAATTTGTAAACATTAAAGACATGAATTTAAGGATCCTTGAAAACAAAATTATAGAATAATAAAAAATATGTATTGATTTTTCATATATTTTACAAAAATAGTTAACATATTCACACACTCTTTGTCTATTCAGATAAAACAGTCAATGGGCTGACATACGTTCTGATCTGGGAACAAAAAAGCTGGCCAGAAGCTCAGAGATTCTGTAGAGAGAGGCACACAGACCTGGTCAGTGTGAGGAACCAGAGGGAGAATGAGAAGATCAAAGAGACAGCGAAGGGGAATGAAGTGTGGATCGGTCTCTACAGGGGGGACTGGAAATGGTCAGACCAGGAGAGCTTGTCATTCCAGAACTGGGCTAGAGGTGAACCCAACAATGCTGGTGGAACTGAAGACTGTGCTACTGTGTTCTTAGACGACAGTAATAGGGGAAAATGGAATGATAATTTTTGCACTGTCCTTTCCCCTTTCATCTGCTATGATGGTGAGTTGAACACATCTCTGCTGAGAGATTCACTTCAAATTGATAACACAATGATAAAACTCAGCTAATAATATACCAACACACCTCACTTCTCACACACCAACACACCTCACCATACAAACCAGCACACTTCACCTCCGCAAACAGCAACTTTTGTCTTACTCACAGAACCAATATGTCTCAATTTATTTTTTTGTGACAGGTCAGCCATTCAGGTCACCATTTTCTTCAAATTATTTTACAACTTGGATTGTAGCACTGAACTGGATCTCAGGTGTTAAGCATATATAGTAAACTTTATTATACATTATACAGTATCAATGCACATGAGCCTTTGTATGTAAAATCCCTCCTTTACAAATCATCACTTTCTACAAGGTCTTCTTCTTCTTCTTTTTCACAGCCTTAGTCCCAGACTGTCCTGGGGTCAGCTGCTTTGGTTGCTCTTCTCCATTTGTCTCTGTCACTTTCTACAAGGTGATGGAAATAAAAAGTTTATAAATTATTAAACCAATGAATAATGAATGATACTAAATTTTTGCTGTCCCTTTTTGTGTTCATTGAATAAATTCAGTCAGTTTTCTTTCCGCTCAGTGATGCCACTGTTTCATAACTTCTCATATCAACACACACTATCAGATCTTACATCATGACACACCAACACACCTCACTTCTCACACACCAACACACCTCAACATACAAGCCAGCACACTTCACCTCTGCATTAAACAACTTTTATCTTACTCACAGAACCAATGTCTCACAGCTTATTTTTTGTGACAGCTTTTTATCTCCATATTTACTTAATCTTATTTTAACTCCCTTCAGTTTTATAGTGTTCATGGCAGATCTGTTTCTACTTTTAAATATAGATCTTTACAGAGTGAGGCTGGTGAATGGCAGTCATCCCTGCTCTGGGCGTGTCGAGATCATGCCTGATCTGACCTGGGGCTCAGTGTGTGACACTGACCTTGACTGGAAGGATGCAGCAGTCATTTGTAGGCAAGAGCATTGTGGGATTCCTAAAGCCATATTTGGTGGAACTAACTTTGGAGAGGGGCAGGGTCCTGTCTGGCCCGAAGAGATCCAATGCCAGGGCAATGAAACCCATCTGACCTTCTGTCAAACCTCCACCACACAGCACCAGAACTGCACACACAAAAATGATGTGAGCATTGTTTGTTCAGGTGAGAGCATCAATTTGCCTTGAGTACTTTATAAGGCCATATCAAGACTACAAGATTTTGTGCTTGCCAGAAGTTTCTCTATTATAACCTATGATTTAGCTCCATAGCTTCTGATGGTTCTTGCTTGGAGATCGGTGGAGAAACACAAGAATTAGAGCACAGGGTTACTGCTGAGGCTCAGGCCTTGATAGGTAAAATCTGAAGCTGTTTTTGCAAAAGTAAAACATCTCTCACAACAAATTCACACTTTGGGACAGTAACAGCTAAGAAGATACCTGCTCACCCTTTTTTAACAGTCATTTTAGGCTGACAATGCAGTTGACTATGTCAAGGCATGGCTAGTTTTCTCTGCTGTGTCTAACTGCAGTGTGGTTTGTTACTAGTTTGAAAACGTATTTTCTCTTATTCACTGTTGTCATACAGAGAATTAGTTTCAGGTTCTGTAAACTATACAGTGTTTTGTATGTAAAATAGGGGAAAGAGGCAAAATGGCAGCTTCCATTTCCAATTTTTGCTTCCACCATAATTTAATTATGTATTAATTCTGTATGCAACTTCACTTGTCCAGTCATGTCTTAGTTTTTGTATGTTTTCAATTGTACCCAGTTATAGTCTGGGGGCATGTGTTTTCTGTGTGGATACTGTAAGTGTGTGGTCAGCATAGGAGAGGGCAGGCAGTTTATCAGCTGCTGCCCTGTGTAGAGCTGAGCAATTCAACACTTCTCAGTAAGCTAAATCATATGATTCAGTACAATTCAGGGAATCAATTGACATCAGGACCCAACCTGTACCTCCCAACACCTACAGACAGCCCTGGTCCACCTGGACAGTCCTGTTACTCAGCAGCTCACTTTAACCCCATTAAGCCTGGAAAACAAATTACCATATAGCTCATCTGTCCAGCACCTGTGATGTAGTTGAAGTTATATCTTCTCAAGCCCTACTGAGTCCACTAGCCTGTAAAACACCCAATCAGTTTCTAATGAAAACTACTCACTCTCCCTCCTTTCCAACTATAGCCCAAACACAGAAACCCTTTTTCTCCTGGCTGTTCATATAGACCGGTAACTGAGCCCAGAAGAGTGGCCAGTTAGTGGCCAGTTCCACACACACACCTCTTTTCCCTCACAAGGAGTCTCACTTCTCCTCTTGTTGTTTCTCCTGTGCAGGATACACAGGGTTCAGGCTGATGAATGGCTCGGACTCCTGCTCTGGCCGAGTGGAGTTACAGTGGCTCTACAGGGAGTGGGGCACAGTGTGTGATCTCTACTGGGACCTGAGAGACGCCACTGTTCTCTGCCAGCAGCTGGGCTGTGGGGAGGCTGTAGCAGTGCCAGGGAAGGCCTGGTTTGGACAGGGCAGTGGACCAGTAAGGGCAGATGTGTTTGAGTGCCGGGGCAATGAGAGCCATTTCTCACACTGCGCTGTTTCCTCATGGGGGAGAGCAGTGTGCTCTCATGGACAGGACGCAGGAGTCATCTGCTCTGGTGAGAATTATGTTTAAAAATCATGTGCTTACACACAGCAGCACACTGTCTTCATGATTTACTGAATACCTGCTCTGTTACATGCTGCCAGCAAAAATATATTCCTTAAAGCATGTGAGTATAATTTAATCTTGTCATATATAACTCAAACATTACCTAAAGGGGTAATCATTTTCATAGTCATTTTCTTTCAGATGATTAGGTACAAAAATTTACTGTGGACAAAAATCTTTTTTATATTTATATTGAGATCACGGTCCTAAAAATGAAAGAAAGTCTTGGATCTCAGAATCCTGTAATTAACACCTGAACTGTTTAATTAGTTTAATTAATAGAGCCCTATTAAACAGGAGGCTGAAAAAGTGAGTCTCAGAAAGTCAATGATTACAGATGTTATGTACAGTTCAACCCCACACACAGCTGACACTGCACTGGTGAACCATCACTCCTGTGGACTGAAATGAGCTCATTTCTTCTTTTACAGAATCAAATATGACCAGAGATTCACCTGGAGCAGGTAAAGAGAGAATGAAGACTGTCTATCCGTTTCAATTGTAGTTTAATGAATGGTGTTAAATTGCTCCTCTCACACACAGCTCACAGTCTGATTTCTCTCTCTGTGTGTTTGAAAGGTTTCCCTTCTTCAGCTGTTCCTCTTTCAGAAACACCAGGTATGAATTAGCCCCTGTTCTGTATCTACAGGGCTCTCATGTGTTGACCTCTTTTGCTCAGTTCAATCCCTGATGAATCTGCGCATTTGTGTGTGTTTATAGTTTGCTCTGTGTCTCACACACACAGTCTGGGTCTTTGGGACCTACAGCAAACACATCTACCTGAATACAGCAGTTTGTCACCTGTAAAGCTATTGACTCTGTGCTCAACATTGGATCACAACAGTAACAAATCTGGTATAGTGCTGATGATCAACACGGAGTCTGTTACAAGTACTAGATATATTAAATTAATCAAAAGTCAAGAACCACTGTACTTGTACTGTATCTGCTTTGCCTAGTGGGCTGAGCTGATCTTCAACTTGTACTGTAACAGCAGGTCATGGTGATCTCTTAGAACTGCACTGATCTCTGACCCCTGACCTCTAATTCTCTGCTCCTAGACCAGCTGTCCCTCAGGCTGGTTGGGGCAGGAGGTGACTGTGCTGGGAGGCTGGAGGTTTATCACAAGGGCTCCTGGGGGACAGTCTGCGATGACTCCTGGGACCTGGCAGACTCTCAGGTGGTGTGCAGCCAGCTCCAGTGTGGGATGCCCCTCAGTGCCCCAGTCCTGGCCTCCTTCAGCCAGGGAACTGGACCCATCTGGCTGGATGAGGTAGGCTGTCTGGGGAACGAGTCATCTCTGTGGGAATGTCCCTCAGCAGGGTGGGGACAGCACGACTGTGGACACAAGGAGGACGTGAGAATCCTGTGTTCAGGTAAGACAGCAATTTTTTATGTTTGAAATCTGTGCAAAGGTGTAAAAGAATAAATTGAAAAAGAGGCTGGAATGGGAGGAAATGTCTATGAGTCAAAAAATATCCCTGTTCCTCAACATAGGGAGTTTGGATATAATTCAAAAACCCATCTCAAATCCCATAAGAGATTTACAAAAAAAACTGATTGAGGATACACAAAATGCAGCAAAAGGTGTGGAGGTTAGATGACACTAAATGTGGACATTTGATCTAAATACAAAGCACAGATCCAACATACCCCAGTAAACACTACCAACCAGTCAAGCATGGCAGTGTTGCGTCTCTTCAGCAGGGGCTAGGAAATCATTAAGACCTTAGGAAAAATGGACAGAGCCAAGTACAACAAATACTAGAGGAAAACATGTTTCCATCTGCTGAAGATTTAAAACTGGGGGAAAAATTCTAATTTCATTTAGACCTCAGAAAAACATACTGAAGCTTCTGGGGCTGAAGAGGTGGAGAGTAATGTGTGAAAGTGGACTCTTGGTCAATGTGGAGCCTACAGTGCTGACAGGAGTGAGTGGGGAGAGAAAGAATATCAGATGATGGAGGCAATCTTGGCACAGACGCACTCTGGAGATCATTTATATTTTTTGTCAGTGCTACGTGACATATATATATATATATGTTTTGTAATGGATATCAACATTTGATTGTGCCACTTCATGAAATAAATCACGAACATGTAGACTTTGAGAACTTAAAATATTATATTATTATATTTGCCATTATTTTCACAGGTGTGGAAATGTTGATCCATAAAAGTTTTGTGACTCTGAGGGCTCTATGTTGAAATAAATGCTTCAGATCAGACCTAAATATGAAATATATTGTAGAGCAATATTGTTTTTGAGAATTTTAACTGTTGTATTAAAATAAGGTTAAGCTGTTTATGTAAGAGTGATTTCTTTCTCTGTTTCTCACTTTCTTCCCAGAGCACAAGCAGCTGAGGCTGTCTGCAGGCTGATCAGGACAGGTAGAGGTTTACTACAATGGCACCTGGGGCAGTGTGTGTCAGAACGGCATGACGGACATTACAGCTGCAGTGATCTGTAAACAGCTGGGCTGTGGAGACAAGGGCACCATCAGAGAGACAAACTCTAGGCTGAGCCCGGATCCCAAATGGCTGGACTTTGTCTCCTGTCGCAAACATGACTCCACCCTGTGGCAGTGTCCCTCCTCCCCCTGGGGTCAGAATGACTGCACAGACCGGGAAGTGGCTAACATCACCTGCTCAGGTAAAAAGATCTCATGCTTTTCTCTGTCATAAAAGAAGTCCGTATTGATTCTTCCATGCTAGAACATATATGAACTGTGTGGAATGAGAGACTAATGAAGGAGTGAAATAGAGGCTTTGCAATTCAAAGAACATGTTAAGAATTTAATAAACAGTTTTGCCTTCAGCTTTAACAATTCATCAAAGCAGACTTCAATAAATCATCTCTCCATCCATCCATTTTATAATCACTTCTTCCAATTTATAGTCACACAGGAGCTGTAGCCTATCCAGGGTCAAGAAATCATGATGAACAAATTAACCACAAAGAAGAATTAACCACATAGAAGTCATATGCCATATTGCATAGTAATATGTTGTCTCCCTGTGGTCTTCATGTGATCTTATATGGTGTGTTTTGTACTGCTTATTGACAATCATTAACCCGTGACTTAATTACATAGGTATACCAAGTTAAAATTTGAAATTATTATTAATCAGGGGATCTTCCACATCTCAGCTAGAAATGTTAACTCTGCCAGATATCACAAAGTCTATCTAAAAAAGAGACACTTCCTAGTCACCTATAGCTGTAGCAAACCTTTCAGTCAGCAGCATTTTAACCCTCATTCATTCTTGTACATGTTGCTATTGTAATGTATTGTAATGTAATGTAGTACAGCAGTAATAACTGAAGTGTTATGTTATTGTTTTTCAGCCTCCAGCAACCACAGGTCCTGTTCTGAGGACCCCACTCAGCAGCACTGCACAGGT